GCTCTCCAGGAGCCCCGGGCTTTCCCCGCTAAGTAAACAGACTAAATGGAGAGTTAGTCCCAGAGGTCTCGGCACTGAGGACAGTGGACTACCCGTAACCAAAGTGACTTTTAGGGAAGAGCCAGTCCTACATCCATGAAGGCTGCACAGGGCAGAGGCTGCCCCAAGCACCAATGTCACAGCTCAGGGCTGATGGGCTGCAGAGGTGATAAGGAGATGAGGAGGGTATGAAGATGGGGGATGTGACACAGGGACAGGGAGAGAAAAGGGACTGAGACGGTAAGGGGGACTGGGAGCTATGGTGACAAGGGGGTGGAGAAGTAGGGGAACCAGGAGACAAGAAGTAGGGGAGATTGGGGATGGAGGGCCTGCAGGGACAGGTTCAAGAACGGAGATGCTTGCTGGGTGTGTGGGATACAGAAGAAAGATCACAAGGAGGGTGGGTAATGAGGGGCATGGGGGATATGGGCACAGGCATAAGAGGTGTGAGGGACTTGGATGCGGGTTCAGGGGAGGGGGACAGAGGAGTTCATTCACAGTGAGGAGAAGTGGGGAAGGGGAAAGAGAAACAAGGAAGCAAGGGGATGGGGGTAGAGGAGCAGGCTCTCTTTTCCTGTCGGGTGCTACCCACCCACAAGCTGGAGCCAACGCTGCTCCTTTGGGAACCTGCTCTGTTCTCATCCTCAGCCCAGATGCACCCTTCTGGTTTTAATTCTGGATATCCAATCTGGGTTCTACTACCAGGTATACAATTCAAGTGTGATCCTGGGTTCTAGACTCGGGTTCTAATTCCAGGAATCTAAGCCACGTTCTGATTCCAGGTTCTAGCCCAGGGTATGCACCCTAATCTAATCCCTGTTGTCCGGCACCACCAATCTCTTGGGCCTCGAGCCCTCACTTGCAGACTGAAGGAAACTTAGCTTTCTAACACCCCCCTCAGTATCTACTTCTCTAATTCTTAGGATTAATCACCAAGACTCCCACGGATGGTCAGGTTGCGGCATCTCATTTGTCAACCTGCTGATCACATTCATTAATTAACCTTTTTTTTTTTTTTTACATTTCACCAGAGCAGATAAAAAACAAGGAATTGTCATCCTCCTTTTAAAGATGGAACATTGTGAGCTCAGAAGTGCTAGCTCAGAAGGAATCCGCATGGCCTGAACCTTCACCCATCACACGCACTAGTATTGGACCATATATCTTCACGAGGGTGCACCCACAGAGCCAACCACAAAATCCTAACTACAAGATGGATAAACCAGAAAGTCTTTGTCTCATTACCAAGGTATTCATGGAACTAGTCCTTAAACAGTGTACTAGTGCCGCCATACAATTATTTTATGAAGACATTTCCCTTGGCACCTTTGCAACAATACATCTCTTTGAAAGGTGGGGTCTTTTGCTTAGAAAGAAGGTCAAGTCACTTGGTCGCCCAGGCACTCAATTTAAAACTTGTGTCTTTTGCCTTTTAGCCTCAACTCTCTTTGTTCCTTGGCCTCTGGGAAGCAACTTTTTGGGTCTAGCCCTTGACCACAGGCTTAGGTGTCCACAACTGCACAACCATGTCCCTGGAATGCCCCAAATACTGCTGTTGTTGTGAGTCACTGAATTAATTCTCACTCATAGAGACCCCATATGACAGAGTAAAGCTGTCCTAGACGGTTTCCTAAGATGGACTATTTACTTGAAGGTACCCTGGAGGTTACACATTGCACTGCTAACCACAAGGTTAGTAGTTTGAAACCACAAGACTCTCCGTGGGATCAAGGTGAGACTTTCTGTTCCTGTAAAGACGTACAGCCTGGGAAACTACAGTGTGGCTGTGAGTCGGAACCAATTCGATAGCACACAACAACAACAATCTTTACTGAAGCAGACTGCCCCATCTTTCTCTCACCAAGCTGATGGATGGATTTGCATCGTTGTAACCCTTGGGTCCCCCCCCCCCGCACCACCAAATAAACCTATTGCCATTGAATAAATTCTGACTCATACATAAAGGGATAGAACTGCCTCTTAGGGAGAGGGATCAAACTGTCTTATAAGGTTCTCAAGGCTGTAATCTTTATAGAAGAAGTACTAGTGATGCGATGGTTAAGCACATGCCTGCTAACTGAAAGGTCAGAGTTTTGAATCCACTAACCACTCTGTGGGAGAAACACACAGCAATCTACTTCCAGAAACCCCATGGGGCAGTTCTACTCTGTCCTCTGGGGTTGTTACGAGTTGGAATTAACTTAATTAACAGATTGCCACATCTTTCTTCCACTGAGCAGGACCACCAGCCTTTTGATGAACAACAGCGCTCTTAGTCATTGGGCCACCAGGGCTAATCCTGTCTAAATTCAGGTTGAACCTGGAAAATGTTGGTCTTATTGTTTGTCTACTTGGTTCAAAGGTGTCTAGCAGCTGTCTTTTCACAACTCATGAAATTTAGGCTTGAACCCCACACCATCTGCCGTGACCCTTTGTGCCCACTGCCCTCAACCATCAACGTGTCACCTTCTAACTCCCACATCACCATCTGTCTGTCAATCTGTCATACTCTGGAGGCTGGCATGTTACTATGATGTTAGAAGCTATGCCACCAATATTTCAAAATACCAGCAGGATGGACAGGCTTTGGTGGAGTTTCCAGCCTAAGACAAACTAGGAAGAAAAGTCTGAAAAGTAGCCAGTG